GATGTGGTGCTGAGGGACATGGCTTAGTGGTGGGCTTGGCAGTGCTGGGTTAACGGTTGGACTCGATGATCTTAAAGGTCTTTTCCAACCTTAACGATTCTGTGATTCTACGAATGATACCTCCAGCAGCAGCAGCGATGCTGTGTTGTTACCTAAGCAAAGCTACCAAGGACTGACCCCTCTGGCATGTTCCAGGCTCCAGCGAGAGCAGATCCGGTCCTTGGGCAGCAGCGCTATGGATTGCGGCCCTGCCGAGCTCCACTTTTCCATCACAGACCCAGAGCTGCTGACGAACACAACCCGGGAGCTAAACCGGCTGCGGGAGGATAAAGCAAAACTGGAGATGCAGCTCCATGAATTGCAGAAGGTGGCGGCTGGGCTGTTGGCTTTCTGGGGGGTTGAAACTGGGGGGCGGTGGGGGGAGTCGCACAAGCGATAGATTCAGCCCCTTCCTTAGGCATTCCCTGAGGGTTTGCCGTGTCCATGGCACAGGCAGGGGTAGTGCTTGCTCACTTTCTCATTTTGGGAAGGGAGGGGATGTCCAAGCAGTCCCCTTGTTGCTTCAACCCTGCTGCGGAGGGGTGAGTTACAGTTAGATCCGGGAGGCTGGGCAGCCCCGTGGGTTGGGGTCGCTGAGCCCCGGGAGGGCTGAGGAGCAGCAGATGTTAGGGGAGAGCTGCCAGCCCAGTGGACTCGCTCGCTGCTAAAAGAAGAGGCGGGTAAGGGAGGATAGGATGGGCCTTTCTGTTCTTGAATGCCTTCGCCTCGGCGTGAATAGCTAACTGAGCAGGAGACCACACTCAGAAACACGCCGGTCAGCTCCACGTCCTCCCACAGGTTCTGCCTGGGCAGAGACATGTCTCTTGATTTGCCTGAATTGAAAAATTCAGAGGACGGGAGACCTAAACCTTAAGCTTGTGCTGCACATCGCTTCCTTGCCAGGGCACTGGTGGCTGTCGGAGTGCTAGGATACCCTGGGCTGCTTCAACGTGGCAGGGGCTGTGGTGAGATTGCAGCAGTGTAATGCTTACGGGAACGCTGTTCTTCCTTTGCCTTCAGAAAAGACTGAAAGAAACCTCCGCCTTTCCGCTGTCTCCCGAGCAGTAAGTGCTGTTTGTTTCCTGGGATATTTGTAAGTCTGAATTCTCCTTGCTGTGTGGATTGAGGAGTCTTCTCCGCTTTACTCGGAGATGGTAATAAATAGGGAGAAAGCAAGCTGATAGGGACTCATCCGAGCAGAAAAGCCAGCCGTCGTCTCGGGGCAGCATTTCCTGCAGTGAAATGAGTTGGTCATTTAGGCCTTGATCCAAGAAAGCTCTTAAGCACATGTTTGATTTAATCACATTTTTAGTCCCGCGGATTTCTTTAGAAGCTGAAGTTAAGCCTACGCCCAAGTGCTTTGGTGGATCACAACCTGAGAAAGGCAAGGGAAGCACCACCTCGGGATGGTCTTGCTTCTCCTCCCTCCCAGGGCAGAAGCTGGGCTGGAGCCCTTAGGTGACCCCGCACCGATACCTCCCTGGCTTCCAACAAGCCCTTTATTCGCTCATTTTTGATGGGTTTCTTCCCCCTGCTCCGTTAGGCTGTTGAAACTCTGTCAACTACAGCTGTGGAGAGGCGGAACAAACTGTCGGAGAGACCTCAGCTGGGATTTTTCAGCCCTTTAAATGCGGTAGCCTAGAAAACATGTCAGGTATTTCGGTGACTGGATGCCAGCACGGAGGAGTCGATCAGTGCCTGAGCCACCAGGCTCCAGAGAAGCGTCTTGGAGAAGAGCTTGCACCTTAACCATGCTGAAAAACAGTAGTAGCCCTTGAAGAGATGCATTAATTTTGTCAGACTTGCCACAGGAACGAGACAGAGAAGTAGCAGCACCTACATTTTAGTGATGCGTCTCGTTAAGGTTTTTATAGCTGCCGAGAGACTCTACACACTTCAAACACGTCTTTTCTGCGTGCTGATGGGTCTCACCCGTGCCGTTACCTTGTTCCTCTAGCCAGAGAGGCGAAGCCTGGTGTAACCGCAGCACTTCAGCCGCAACTCCTGCTGCTTCTCGTCTTTATCAGCCGCGCGGCTTCGCTGTTTATCGTTCCCTTCGCTTCTGCTCCCACGAAATCTCAGCCGTGATTTCCCGCGGGCCTGGGCCGGGAGGCGGCAGCCACCAGAGGGAACTCTGGCAGTCGCAGCCAGCCGCTCTGGAGCACAATGCATTCCTCCCTTCATACAACCCAAATTCCCCGAGCGTCAGATGTGACCTGTATTTTGCTTATTCAGACTGAGACAGAATGGGAAGAACTTTCCCACGGCTGGGCCGCACAGACAGCTCACCTATCGCGCTCGGCGACCAGCACGGGCGGCTTTGTGCTCCGAAACATGAAAAGCGCCAGCGTTTGGCATTGATCACTCTCTATTTCCATCAAATCCAGTCCTGTGGTGTCAGGTTAAGGACTCTTTCTGCACGGAGTCCTCTGATGTACGAGTGTTGATGCGAACTTGGAAGAAACGCAGCCGTCGCGGTGGGGAACCCCCGGTTGGCAGAAGGGCTGCGACTCCCGTGCGCGGGCACAGGGACGGTGCCGCGTGCCCTGAAGTTTGGGGCACGGGGAGAGAAAAGGTTGAGAGCGCTGGGGTTTATGGTTGGATGGGCATGAGCCGTGTGACCTACAGATGGGCTGGATTTGAATGTCTGAGCATGATGAAAATCTGCTTTTCCCTCCTAGGCAGCGGGATGAGGAGGGCTGGGCAGAGGTCAGGAAGCAGCTCCGGGAGTTTGTGCACACCACCCAGGTAAAGGTCTGGAACAGCCCGTCTGAAGAAAGCTTATCCCTTACCCCCACGGCAAAGATGTGCTGCCCCAGCCAGCTGCTGCCCCGGGGCCGGTACGCTGCTCCGGGCTGGAGTGGGGAAGCTTTCCACGGAGCCTTGCTGTGGCTTTGGCCTCAGCCCACCAAGTGACGCTAGCAGGTCCCCGGCCGGTAACGTATGGAGGCTGTACTGACCCTGCTACCAAAAGAAGGAGAGCAGCCCTTATGGCTGCTCGTTGCTGGACTGTATCGCTCCCTCCCGTGTTTCAGCACATTTAGGCATCTGTAGAACACGACCTGGTTCAAGTCTAGTCTGAAACTGAATCAGCTTCCCAGCCTGGTTCTCCCTGAGTGCAAGGATATTTGTGCTGCACTCAGGACCGGGGTGGCCCGGAGCGGGGAGCAGAGCTCTCTCCGTCCGCAACGCTGCCCTACAGCACCCACGAATCCGTGGTGATGCTCGCTGGGAGCGGGCTTGGCTGAGGTGGGGTTTGCTGTCCGGCAGTGCCGGCAGCAATAGAAAGAAGGGTGGGTGCTGGGATTCCTGCCACGCTGACTGCCAGACGCGGGGAAAAGGGCTTTGGAAACCAAGCAGAGGTTCGGTTTTCTGTGGCAGACGAGGCTACCAGCTCGCTTCCACGTCGTGCCTTCCTCCGCCCGCAGCGACCTAAGGAAGTGCTCCACCGTAAAGCTAAACGCCTAAATTGTGGGTATCTTTGCGGCCAAAGGAAGGGCGATGCCGTGGCTGAGAGGCTGGAGCGCTGCGCCGGGAGCAGGTCCTGCTCCTGGCTCTGCCGTGCGTCTCGGGGGTGAGCTCAGTCGAGCACCTCAGGTCCTCCTGGTGACACGGGGACCGCGCGGTTAACCTGGGTAAGCCGGTGATCTGCTGCCGGAGCCACCGTGCAGAAAACAAAGGGGATTTTTTTTTTTTATCTAGAAGGGAAGGTCGCTTCCCTCTGCAACAAACTACCGGTGGAAAGGTGTGAAAGCTGTGTCCGTGCGCCAAACCTAGCGACCGCTCCGCCAGCTGGCTGTGAAGCCTCTGGGGCGTTAAAGCTGGCTTGGCAGGCCGGGGTTGCCGCCTGTCCTGGGGCGGCCCTGGCCCCCACGCCTGCGCTCTGCTCGGGGACGGCTGCGGGTCTGCCTGGCCGATGCCCGGGAGCGGTGGTGCCTGCAGAAAGCTGCGCTGCCGTCACCAGGCTCCTTCCCCCGAGCGCATCAGTTTTCGGTTGCTTCTTGCCTCACGCCAAGTGGTGCCGGAGCTGAGCGGCGGGAAGCGCTTGGTCTCGCCTGGCAGAGAGGGACTGAGCAACGTCACTCCCGTCTCCCCGAGATCCCCGTTTTCTCCATGTTTCTTTGCCCCTCCAGGAGGATTTGGAGCAGGAGAGGAGCCAGCTGCTGACGCGGGCGATCGTGGCGGAAGAGCAGGTGTTGGAGCTGCAGGAATACATAGATAAGCATCTTGCAAGGTGAGATGGTGGGATCCCCCTCCGCGTGTTCTCTGCATTGTGCTCCCAGTTTCTCTCCCAGGCTAATCGCCGGCGACATTGCCATGCCCGCCGCGCTGTCGGCGCCTGACCTCGCCGCTGCCTTCCCACAGCGCTGCCGGCGCGGCCGATGTCCCGCAGCACGTCCAGCTGTGCGGGCAGCTGCCACCATCCCTTGTTCCGCAGGGGTGGAGGCGGGGGGACGACCGCACGTCTCCTTCCCTGTGCGCTCACCCATCCTTTGGAGGGAGCTAAGAGAGGGGTTGCCTAAAATCCCAAGCTTTCCAGCAGCCCCTGACGTACGGCCCTCTCTCGCTGGCTCATCGCGCCCCGTGGGCAAGGACGGGTGAGAACAAGCAGAGCACGTCCGTCGGAGCGACGGCGCCTGCCGTAACTCCTGGGTCAGACTTGTGGGCTTGTTGCTGGTACCGGTACCTGGCAGAGCCGACAAACACCTCTTCCTCGGGAAAAGGCTGTGATTTTATATCTGCCGGGGCTCAGCTCCCGGCGTGGCTCAGTGCCTGGGCTGGCTGGTCTGAATTAACTGACACCGCGCGTCCTTAGCGTGCAGCAAACACAAGGCGAAGTGTAATTTAAACTTATCGCTCCTGTGTGTGAGCTATCAGTGGGGTTGCGACCAGACGGGCAAGGACGGTGCTGCTCCCCCGTTGCAGGTACCAGCAGGAGATCCTCCGGTTGAGGACGCTCGCCGGCAGCGAGGTGCCACGCGCGCTCAGTGCCGGCGCGGCCGATATTCACTCACTGCCTGGAGCGAGAAGGAGCGTCAGCCACCGACCGTAGCTCTTCCCCACGGCTCCGAGAAGCGGCACGATCATAGGAAAAAGCAGGATTTAAAAGGAAGGAGCTTTCTGTTGTGTGGGCTGGCCAGGGCAAGTATCCTTCCCTGGCTGAGAGCTGGGAGGCACAGCAAGGGAAACCACGTGGGTGTTCTCGGTCTCAAATTAACAGCACTAAAATGGGACGAGACAACTGCGTCTCGTCTATCTTCTGACCCCTCAGCTGTAGGAATTCTGCTGTTCCCTGAGCACATCACGCCTTGGGACACGGGGTCAGGTTCCCAGGCAGCTTTTTACTGGGGGGCTGCAGGGCCAGGTTCCCGTTCCTGCCTCCTAGGACACTGCTGTAACGGTTCTCCTGGGTCAGACCGAGACCGGAGTCCAGGCGCTAACGCTGCTCCTGCCTTTGCTCCCTTCTCGGCCTCTAAGAGAGAAGGGCAGGGCTGGTTCAAGCTAGACAAAGGGGATGAGCTGCTCTTTTATGGTGGAAAAACCTTTTTTTCCTCTGCATTTGAGTGGAAAAGGGAATGTTGCAGCAGGTGAGCAGGGCCAAACTGATCCCGCAATGGGAGGTGAGCTGGACAAACCCCCTCCTGAGCCGCCTTCCAAGGGACGGCGGAGCAAAGCCTGAGGCCGGGAGCGACGGCTGCTCCGGCTCCAGGAGCACCCTGCGGCTCAAAGGCAAAGCAAAAGCCTCAAGGGAAGAACCATCCAAATGTTTATTTTGAAAAATTAAGTAGAAATAAAGTAGCAAACATTCAGAAAGAGGCACTGGAGATTTAGCCCTTAAATCCTGTGATAATTCCAGGATTTCTAGATCTGGTTTTTCCCTTCCCTTGCTTCCCCCAAACCGCCCGCTCTTTGGAAGACAAGGAGGGACCACCATGCTGCAAGTCCCCGGGGAAAAAGCATCCCTCTCTCTGCTGTCCTGAGCTGAGCCTAAGGGCTGGAGAGGCTCTGACCTCTACCATTGCTGACCCTTAATGCCAGGCTTAACAAGGCTGCCGCTAGACCGGGCTTCCCTCTGCGCCGCTCGCCGCACCTCCTTCATGTCATAGGCCCAGACTTGCTCCAAGCCCTCCCCAAGGGTGCTGGTGGGGGTCCAGGAGGGGAAGGGGAAGCGTCCAGCCACCACCCGGGCTTCGTCGGGGAGTTCTGCAAGGAGCTTGGCGGCCAGGGGAGGTTTCTGGGGAGAGACAGCCAGGGCCAGGCGGCCTTAGGAAAAAGGCACGCGGTGGCAGTGCCACCAAGGGATCACAGGGCAGCTTCTCGGCACGGCTGGTGGGTCCCAAGCAGACAGCATCAACCAAAAACCCTTCCAAAACGCAGGGCCGGTACGAGTCCTGTGCGTGGTTGGGATTAGGACCAAGTAACAAGCGATAGGATGAGGGGAAACGGCCTCAAGCTGCACCCGGGGAGGTTTAGATGGGACGTTAGGAAGAATTTCTTCACCAAAAGGGTTATCGAGTGCTGGCCCAGGCTGCCCAGGGCAGGGGCTGAGTCCCCATCCCTGGGGGGATTTAAAAGCCGGGGAGATGTGGTGCCTGGGGACATGGGTTAGTGGTGGCCTTGGCAGTGCTGGGTTAACGGCTGGACTCAAGGGTCTTTTCCACCCTAAATGACTCCGTGTTTCTATAAATTCAAGTGGTGCTGAGCACCAAACCGCTCGCTCCCACCGACGCCCACTTGGCCTTCTTTTTCCAAGAGTCTTTGCCCCCGTCCCAGATCGTCTCTCTTTGCTACAAAACCCCTCCCTCGAGCTCGCTCAGAACACGTCGGGGTGCCAGGGACCCACTTACCACGCTGGGGGCCAGGAACACCATCACGTTGTAGCAATCGGAAAGATTCACCTTAAGAGAGAAGGAAAAGGGGAATAAAAGCAGCGACAGGCGGAGGGGGAGCGGCGGGGGGAACCGTCCGAGCGGCCAAGCGCTTTGCGGGCGATCTTTTGAACGTCGGGGGAAGCAGAGGTGCCCCACAACGTGTGGGACGGGGATGTGTTGGTGCAACCAGGAGCCGGGCGTGAAAGCAGCACCTCTTGCAAAACACCTGCCTCCAGCATCGTCCCAAACCACATTCCCTGCTGGCTTTTCCCCGGTTGGGCTGCGGGTACCTGATGCCAGCTTTAGCAGGATGTCTACGACGGCCACCGCGCGTCAGCAGCACCTAAGACCTCTTCCCAAAGCTGCCCTGAGAAGGAGCGCTGCTGCCTGCCCCACCAGCAGCCAGCCGCGGGCGTTCCCTGCGGAAGGAGGGTGGTTTTTCCACCTCCTGGGAGCAGCGTGGGTTGGGGAAGGAGCAAGCGACCCTCACCAAAGGCTGGCTGGAGATGTAAGACCAAACCCCGGCCCTGCCCTGACTACAGCCAGCCCCTCGGGACGCTGTTACCTTCCACAGGTCCTTCTTCAGGAAGGAAACCTTCCCGTGGTACCCAGCCCTCCAGGCCCGGTAGCTGGAGAGGCACAGCAGCCAGGGGTTGAGCTCGTAGCCAACGGCTGGCCTGAGACCTTGCTTATAAGCCTCTACCACCTGGAGAGAGAGAGAGAGTTGCAACCGAAATGAACCTCGGTGTTGAGTTTGGGGGACAATCTGGGGGACAGGGGCTCTTGCCCAGCTCCACTTCGCTCCCTCCTGCTGGCTCATGGGCAGGGTGACCTTGGTCCTCAGCGCCTTCCAGGTGCAAAGGCTTGTCTAGGTCTTTCCTCCTAGAGTGGTCGTTCCCACCCTGCTCACTGCATGTGATGTCTTCTAGGGCCACCTAGGACTGTCTAGGACCACCTAGGGCCACCTAGGGCTGTCTAGGACCACCTAGGGCCACCTAGGACCACCCAGGGCTATCTAGGACCATCTAGGGCTACCTAGGGCCGCCTAGGAATACCTAAGGCTGTCTAAGACCACCTAGGGCCATCTAGGGCCACCTAGGACCACCTAGGGCTGTCTAGGACCACCTACAGCAGTCTAGGACCACCTAGGGCCATCTAGGACCACCTAGGGCCGTCTAGGACCGCCTAGGGCTGTCTAGGACCACCTAGGGCCATCTAGGACCACCTACAGCAGTCTAGGGCCATCTAGGACCACCTAGGGCCGTCTAGGACCATCGAGGGTCATCTAGGGCCATCTAGGACCGTCTAGGGCCACCTAAGACCACCTAGGGCTGTCTAGGGCCATCTAGGACCACCTAGGGCCACCCAGAACCACAGCCAGGAGCGGGGGGGCTCCGAGCCGCCCTCCTGCCGAGCGCAGCCCCCCTCCCAGCCCCCAGCCCCCCCTTACAAGCCGGCCATCTCCCGATCCCAGGTCCACCGTCTTCCCCGTGCGGCTCCGCAGCAGCGCCAGGGTGTTCGCCACTTGCTGGGGGCTGGAGGGCAGGTAGAGAACCTGGGGGAG